TGGTGGTTCCTTTATAGAGAGGGACGCAGAGCTTCTTGTGTATAAGATACAATTTCCTCTAAGAGAAGAGAGCTTCCTATACGGAGAAGCATTGTGATTGTACCTCATGAAGATTGAGAAGCTTGTTTCTTGTAGAGAAACGGTTCTCATTGAGATTTTAAGTTGTTTCCCCTTTTAGTTAGAGAAAAAATCAGTTTCACCATGCTCTCACATCTCTATCTGGTGTTGTTGGTAATGGTTGTCAGATGTAAAGAGAAGGCATGACGAGTGGTTTAAAAGGGTTTGCTCGACTGGGTTTTGTTGAGGGTTATAGAGGTAACTCTATGTTCCAAAATCTTTAATGTAACTTTCATTGGTATAGTGGATTTCAGTTTGCTGTGCCTGTAGCCCTTCTTGGGCTGAACCACGTAAATCTTTGTATTCCTATGGTATGTGTTTCATGCATTGTTTTTCGTACTTTATTTACCAAAAATCGACCCCTTAGGTTTAGAGCTTTTGCGCACAAAACACACTATTTTCAAAATGCAAGCTTACTCTCTAATAATAAATAAAATAGAAGTTTTGTATATATTTCATTTGTTTTTTATTATCGTTGTAGATTTATATAGGGATAGTTTGGTCTACACTAAATATATATTGTATATTTAGGGTTTCATTACTATTTATGAGAATTGGCCACATATTCTATTTTTCTCTGCCTCTCTCTCTTTCATCTTTGTTTTCTCGAAATCTATCATGGTATTAGAGCACTAAATATCGGATTATTTCTTTGCCTACTACTGCTCATGCAAGTTATTCATTAGTTCATTCATTGCTGATCTTGGATTATCATATTCTTTTGTGAAGGTCAGTTAATGGATTGATTTTTGGTGTTATTTTCTCAAACTTGACAGTAAAGAGAGATATCTATTTGTTCTAGAGGGAGAAAGTTCATCATTATTTTGTTCGTTTGCTCTTGCTTTTTTTATCCGTTTTTTCTCTGGACTTCCTTTCTTTCGTTTTTTTCTTTTGATTTACTTTCATCCTTTTTTTTTGCAACATTACATAAGCCTTTTATTTGCTTCCTCCAACACCCTTTCTTTCATGATCCATCTTATTCTTGTGCATCTAAACCTCAATGTTAGCACACGGCTATGAATGAGGAAGTTGCAGCTTTAGAGGCGAACCACACTTGGGATTTAGTTCCACTACCCCCTAACAAATATGCTATTGGTAGTAAATGATTTTATAAGGTTAAGTTATGGGCTGATGGCATCCTTGACAGGCACAAAGCACAATTAGTTGCACAAGGTTATGCCCAAGAATATGACATTGATTATGAATAAAGTTTTGCTCATGTTGTTAAGATGACCACAATTTGTACTCTTTTTGCACTAGCTTCAATTCGTGACTGGCCTATGTAGCAGATGGATGTCAAAAATGCTTTTTTTTAATGGAGAACTTCAAGATAAAGTTTATATGTGCCAACCACCTGGGTTTGCTACTCTAAATGCATCAATGGTCTGTCGACTTCCTAAGGCCATTTATATTCTTAAACCAACTCCTCGTGCATGGTTTGAGTATTTTACAGATGTCATTCTTGTAACTGGTTTCATTCAAAGTAAACATGATCGCTCCATGTTTATTCATACCACAAAGCATGTCATTTGTATTATCTTTCTATATGTTGATAATAGTCTCATTTCTGGATATGATTTTACTTCCATCAATGATGTGAAGCTACAATTGCGAAAAGAATTTCAAATAAAGGATCTTGGGGAAGTATCTTACTTTCTTGGCCTTAAAATCACTCGTTCTAAATGTAGTATTTATATCCATCAATAGAAGTATGCAGTTGATCTTACTTCCAGTGCCCGTTTGACTGACATGAAGGTTGTGGATACACCTATGGAGCTCAATGTTAAATTTTTTGTGCATATTGGAGATCTTCTTCCTAGGCCTATAATGTATCACAAACTCGTAGGCTTCCTCATCTATTTCACTATGACATGCCGAGATAATGCATATGTAGTCCATGTTGTGAGCCAATTTGTTTCAGATCCTCGACAACCATATCTATCAGCGGTTGACTTAATCTTATGCTATGTTCAAGGCACTTTCAATCGTAGGTTATTTTTTGCCTCCACGTCCTCTTTAGATCTTAGTGCATATACTGATGCAGATTGGACAAGTGATATAGACACTTGCCACTCTCCTACAGGATATTGTATACTTCTTAGATCCTCTTTAATATCATGGAAGAACAGAAAACAAGATATTGTCTCAAAGTCAAGTACTAAAGTGGAGTATCGTGCTTTGTCCGCTATTGCTAGTGAAATTATTGGGTTTGTGCTTTTCTCAATGACTTCGGTATCACTATTTCAGATCCTATACCTTTATATACATATAACCAAAGTATGATTAAAATTGTATCTAATCTAGTCTTTCATGAGAGGACAAAGCATATTAATGTAGGTTGCCATTATGTTCGTGACCGCTACCTTGATGTCACATTATCTCTCCCTAATGTTTCTTCTACTGCGTAAACGGCTGATATTTTGACTAAATCAATTACTCAAAAACGCCATGATTTTTTTGTTGATAAGTTAGTGCTTTCCTCATCTCCGCATCAGCTTGAGGAGTGGTAATAATGAATAAAATTTTATTTTAGTATATATTTCATTTGTCATTTATTGTCGTTGTATATTTGTTTAGGGATAGTTTGGTCTACACTAAATATATATTGTATATAGATGCTTTTACGGTTTCATTCTTGTTTATAAGTATTGGTCATACATTCTATTTCTGTTGGACTCTCTCTTTCATCTTTGTTTTCTCGAAATCTATCACTCTCTTCAAAATACAAGCACTCTTTCTTTCCTGAGTATCTAGGGCATAAGAGCTAAATTGCATCTTCCCAGACTGGAAAAAAAAAAGGAAAAGAAAAACACATAGATATGCTAGCTTGTTTGGGTTTCTTGTAACAAATTTCAGAATTTCGAATCCTCGATCATCTAAACCAATTAGTACAACTAATGCAGCACCTAAGGGATAAGTAGTGTCTCTATTAAACTGGAAAAGTAACAGAAAATGTTACCAATTATCACCGGTGCTACTATGAAGTGTTTCATGGAGTTGCCACAAGGAACGAAGGGTTTTTCATATGCACAGCAAGCCCTAATTTTGTGTAAATTATGAAGATCTCTCCTACCATTTCGTTTTTGGGCGAGAATTTGACCGACAGGAAGAGGAAATCGTTCAATAAATATTATAAGCTATATACAAACACTTTTTATGATATAGCTTTATATAAGTCTCTTAAAGCTCTATACTATCTTAAAGCTCTATACTATAGTTATGGGTAGCTTATATAATAGCTAGCAAAATTTCTTACAAATGAATGCCAAAGCGTTTGTATATATGTTACTAACAAATTTTAGTACTATATCAGGGAGGTGTTAGAGATTACCGAAAACTAGGACAATATATAAGTGGTTCGCTCAACTACTTCATGTGTCTAGCTTATAAGAGGTGTAAGAGTTTATTGGGCGGCAAGGCATAACAAATATAGTTTACTCTATGCATAAGGTTCGCTGATTGCACATAAAAAAATGAAAAACAAAATGTTAATAAAAAACAAAAAATTGGGAACTGGGAACTGGACGATTCAGCTTAGTCCAAATCCCCCAGTTCTCATGAAAAATGCTAGATGCATAAGAGCTTGGCCAATCCTGGTTCCCATTGGAAACCGGCCCAATCATCACTTGTTCCATACCGAGATCAACTGATTTCTAACCGCTGATCTGTCAAACATTGACCAAACTCCATGTTACACATATAATCCTTAATAATGTGCTTTTGTGGCAGTTCTAAG